ACATCATTTCACACATAAATGGCTAACCTCACAAACACAGTGTATTTACATTGATTTGCTTAATGCGTACACTTCACGTGTTTCCTATGCACTTTTTTTAGGGACATTTAGCAACAATGATCTGTATGGGTCCACTTTTTTTATCTTGTAATTTGCCAAGTATTTTTAATCACCCATACCCTGGGCACCAGATACTTGAATAATGACATCCAGTCCTCCATCCCTTCATGATGAGGTTGGTCTGATTTCTGTCATAGGATTCATGTGGGGCTGGATGGAAGAATATTCATTTTGCTGAAGGTTTTTTTCCCTTCATGTCTTATGTTCTGTCTGTCTGAACTATTTCAGCTACAGAAGACTCTATTTTAGGAAAAGTTCAATAAATCTCTTCATAACTGGAAATGTTAGAGGGTTATTCAGGAACATTTTACCAGTATCTGCTAGTTTCTGTTGTTTGCATTGTGTCCTCTATAGGCTTTAAGATTAAGTTGGCACTATGATATTTCTCTTATACTAGACATAACCATACAGAAAAAAAGATGTATTTGAGTTGTTTATTCTTCGTGGTGATATAAGGTGGTCTAAGTCACCTGTGTCAACGGCTTCATATTAACTGAGACCCCACTGTTTCAAATAACCAGGTTTAGATGTCTCTGTATAAATAACCAAATCAGTAGCAGAAAGTTCTGCCCTCGTCCTGACAGGTCTAGCCTTAATTAGCAACAGTTTTTTAGTTGTTTCACAATAGAAGAGTTTACTCACACCCATTCATGAGACGAACTGAAAAGAGGTATATAAAACACTTAAAATTGAAAAACGGAAAAACCTGTGGGAATTGTGCATGTTCAGTCCAGAGAAATATAGTCTGATTGTAAGCTTACCTGCCCTTCAAGATGTAAAAGGATATTACTGCACAACAGAAAACAATTACTCTCACTGGTCAGAAAAACAGAACTAGGTAAAAATCAGTTAAATATTAAGCAATATTATATATTTAAGTAAATATTTATATTATAATTCATAACACACATATATATAAATACATAAAGTATAAGTGTGATTGTACAATGGCAGCACACAGCTTCAGTTCCTATCAATAAAAGGATCCTCAAGAATCACTTTCAACAGATGTATTTAAATCAGGATTTAGAAACCTCTCCTGGGTATCAGGGCATGTATAGGAGCAATGGGCCAGCCTTAAATATAGCTTATACTTCTGTATGTAAGGAATAACAGTAGTTAATATTGCCATTCTTCTGTTTCCAGCCATGTATATTGCCTTCTCATGATGCAGGGTAACTGTGTCACCATTTGGGGCTTGTTTCCTTTCCTGTGCTTGTTTCTGTTCTCTCATTTGTTAAGTTTTCAGTGGCTCCAACACTGGAGTCCTTGCTAAGACTTCTGGGACCTATTGTAGCCCAAATAACATTAGCATCACTGACCTTTGGACTTAAAAAAGTAATTTTTTTTTTTTTAATCTGTCCCAGAGAAATCAGTTCTAACTGTAATGCATCTAGAGAGGATGATAGGGTTAAGTTCCCCCTGTCCTCTTTGGTGGCACAAGGAGTCTAGCCCTGGCCGCACAATGCTTGACCCAAGACAGGGAGAGGTCCCTTGGCCACTGAGCGTTCTCCTGAGGCATGAAATATGGGAGTTTGCACCGCTCAGGGTGAGGGGGGACTTGAAGCCAGGACACTTGTTCCCTGTGTCTGTGCTTCAGCTGCCAGGGCTGCATTGAGAGACCACGATGCCTTTCTCCCTCCCACCAAAGCCTGCTGTGAGTGGGGGCTCCCTGTGTGTGTTGAGGCTGGTGTTACCCCTGCAGCTCTGATGCAGAGCTGAAAGCTCTGAGAGACTGGATTTAGTGTTTCCTGGGGGCTAGCTCTCCATACAGATTCTTGAATCACCTAACCTTCAGCTTAACCTTTCTTGCACCTTTTGTCGGGCACCTGGCTCTGGGTTTTCAATTCCACACCATGTACTGAGTGTTTAGGCTTTTCAGTGCCTTCCTTGCTGGTGCCCAAGAGCTAACATAATTTTTTAGGACCAAATACTACATCTGTCCATTAAGCATAAATTTTTTAAAGGATGTTTTTGTTTACTTGTTTGTCTTGACATGAAACATGCTTGAACGAAGGTGGGCTGTATTCATTTCTTTGACCCTAATATAATGCCAGCAACAAAACCAAGGAAATGCTTTTCAATTATTTTCTCCATGTACCTCAGAAAGAATTGGTACTGAACAGCCAGTATCTCAAGTTAAGTACAGATTGATTCTTGGAGCCTAATTGGTGAGATTTATTAACAATAGAGCATTTGACTAGTTATAATAGACTCCTATTCATTATACAGTTGATAATTCAACAAGTAGCTGATTCTAATTTTCAGTGTTCGTTATACCATTAAGGCTGACTTTATTAGCCTACTCAGGGATGTTTAAAAACAATTAACCTTAATTTTTTAAAGTGGAATGTGAGACTTCAGCTATTAAACTTCAATTCTATTTTAACTGCTCCAGGGCATTAGACACGTGGCTCCTGGATTCTGGCACCTTATTAACACGGGATAGCAGGGTATTCAACAAAGAAACTCAAGGTCTGATTTTAACTTCTATGCACTTGTGGCTTTCCTCATATAGGTAACCTCATCTATGAATGAAGTTCCCTTCTTTTAATTAGTTTCGGGATCAGGCTGTAAATTCTTGTTGTGGTGAAGCATGGCATAGGCCAATGTTTAATTAAAAAATTGCAAACCTCCTGATGATCTGTGCCTGCAGAGAGAGGATTCATTTTAGAACATTGCCATAAAAAATTTTAGGTGGCTTTTCAGACAGAGCCCACTTTCTAGGGCTCCAAAATTAGGTGTGTGTTTCTACAAAGGAGAGTTTAGGAAAGGTTTCAAAGCAGATCAAAGTTAAAGAGCCTCCTGATGGTTCAGCTTTGTAGCACTAAGCCTGCTGGGTGTTCTGCAAGGATCCATTGTACCTAGCTGCACTCTGAAAGCACAGCCATAGTTTTGCATGCATTATACTGGCCGTGTTTTCAGTAGAGCTTTACAAATTGCCTAATCCAGGTTAGGCCTTTTCTGGAAGCTCTTTAATCCTTCTAACATTTGCATAATGATCTCAATACTGTAATTCTTGTGTGACAGTGTGTTGAAGCTCTTTCTGATTTACATTAATGATAGTACAAGAATAATGGAATACCAAATTGACTTTATCATCTTTCAGGACTGAGAATACCATAAATTTCAATGTTTAAAAAAGCGTGGGGCCAAGTTCACTCCTGGTGTTATCACAGTGACATCTCTAGAGCTAGGTGAGGCATGCATTGATTTTGTCATGCTTAAGTAAATATTAACTCATATTTGGGAATCTAAATGAGGGGGTAGATTCTACTAAAGACCTTTCACAGTGGTATTCTATACTTTATTCCCTATGACTTTGATTAAAACTTGATAATCTCCCATGAAAATTCTAAACTAATCAGCTGCAATAAAAAATAGATGAGGATTTTATGAATACTTTATGTGAATGGTAAGAAAGTAAGTCTAGTTTTGAGGTATTGTGTTAAAATTTGCAGGACTACACAGCAGGTAATACTAGGCTGACTTCCCATTTCTGTCCTCCTGCAGACCTTACAATAAGGCAGCACAGACACGAGCTGAAAGGCAATCCCAAGCAGCCATGCAACACCAGTTCTGAGAGGATAAAAATGAGGGATGCTCTAGCAGGCATGCTCACTGAAAAAAAGGCTTTCATAGTAATTCAGAAAACAATTCATTTCCATGGGAAAATACACTAAGAAACTGAATCACAGGGCGATATTCATGTATGTAACACAGGTGATATTTTTTTAAAAAAGAAAATATCTTTTTTTTTAACAGCTATTTGTTCAATGCAACCAGTATTATCTGATGTCTTGCTTATTTTATCTGCTTCATGTTTAATACCTGGGAGTTTGAATATGACTTTTATTCTCAGCAGCAAATACAAAAATACGGTATTTCTCTCTACAAAATTTCCGTGGGCTTTCTCATGTCTCAGCTATGCTTTCTTGACCTGACATCTAGTCATAAGCGTATCATGTGAGGCATGTATCTTGATGAGAAGGTCATGTTAATATATGCAATTGTTTGTGCTCACAACCTATGAATGATTGAATGCATGAAAGAAAACAATTACCCAGATAGCACTTTATTTCTCCAAGGAGCAGTAAATACCCTACCTTTCATTTGCTGAGTGCCATCAGAAGTTCTGTCATCCTCTTTGTTTATTGTGATAAAAGGAGATGAGTCCAGGCTAACAAAAAAGCTTCTATGATATTTTAAATGTTTTTCTTCATAAAGCATATTCTGTGACCTATAAAAAATGATTAAAATGTTGTCTTGGTGCATGTGTGATCGAGTTGTGTATTCCAAAGTCCTAATTTTGTGGCATATTATGAACTAATTTGAAGAGAGACTGAGAAGCAATAAAGGGTATTAAAGTTGCACTGACGGGAGATAGGAGCTGATTCATTAAATTATCTGTGTAGCAGGTTAAGGCTTATCTTGCATGAGCATGCATGTACCACCTTACAACCTTGTGTAAGCAACTCCCCACAGTCTGGCTCCACAGGGCTGCTTCATCCTGTGCTTGAGCATCTTTCAAAAGAGAGGTTGAGATGAGAAGGATGCTGTCTCCTCCCAGCGCACAGCAAAGCTGCCGTGACCAGGTCTGGATTTCTTTCTGAAGCAAACAGGGAAATTGCAACTACTGACAGATGCTATTTCCCCTGAGCAGCTCCAGATGCTGAGCAGCCCAATGCTGTGCTGTAATTTTGGTCTGGGCAGGCAGTTGGAGTCCCATGAAGCCTTTGAACATTACAGCTGTATTTAGACGCTGAAGCCTTCAGGCTGAAGACTATCCTTCTATCAGTGATAAAGGGCCTATCCTGTGCTGACAAGGCTGCCACGCAGTACCGTGTTGTGAATAATCATCCCATTTTCTCTGTTTTCAGGAGATTTGTCCTCACCAAGATGAGAGTCATTCCAAAAGGAGCTTTCGCAGGACTTGGTGACCTAGAGAAAATGTATGTATTCTGTCAATATTTACTAGGAAACAACTATTTTACTCGAAACAGCAGTTTCTGGTTGCAGCTCCTTTTACTGCCTGTGAGCAAGGCCCTATCTCTAAGCTTCATCTAGTTTCATTTCTGTTTAAAATAATTAGAAACTTTTTTTTAAGACCATGTTCCAAAACAGTGTTGTCATAAATACATTTTTATATCAGCAAGCAGACAGTCCTTGGTCAAAGGGTTCGTTCAGCATGGAGTGTCATTGTAATTAATAAATAAAGTGCCATAGCAGAAGATCATGGGAAACTGATTCTTTTGAGAACTTTGTAATAGATCGTAATAAACCAGTGGAAGATTAGGGAGGAAAGCAGTCCTGTTCATAACAGGGCAGCCAATTCTCTTTTCACTAATGAATAAATAGGATTCTTTTGTGCATGTTCAGAGACAGCTAGCAGGATGCATGAGAGAAGTTTCTTACAGGCAATAGGTCTGAAAAACCTAGCACATAAAGGGTGTAAGCATCTAATATCTGTGAACTTTGGTGATAAGCCTGGAGATATAATTATGAGCACCTTTAATGAACAGATGTATCGTGCATTCATTAGTAAACTATTGTGGATGTATTGCAGTCCTCCACCACTAGAAGGAAAAATCCTTAGTAAGGTATTTCCTACTACTCTTTAGCAACAGAAAATCTGTGGATTAACTGGTGCTAGCACCAGAAATTATAACTGTCACTGTCCAACCTGAACTATTCAGGGGCATATACAGTTTTTCTGAATTATTTCATAGATGAGCAAATCACAACATTTTGTTTAGAAGCACACCCAGCACTTGTACCCTGACAGGAGAGGGTCACAAACAGGCTGTTCAGCCAAGAGGATTTTGAGTGGGAATGGGGAAATGCACTTTAACATCAGTGCCTTTTTCAGTGCTGTGAGTGTAACGGCAAAACTGAAAAGGAATTGATTGCCGACATTTCTGCATCATTTCTACCTTTTTCGCTCATACTCTTGCATAAGTAAGGGATTTAGCAAGGAGGTGAATGCAGCAGAAGGTATGGCAAGGAAAGGGAAAGAATTTTGAACCTAGAGAAGTACGGATGGATGAAGAACAAGCAGTGAACATGCAAGAAGGATAGAAGAGCTGCTGGTCAGCAACAAGTGGTAAAACTCACGTGGCACCTGGCCTTTTCTGAAGCATGAGATCCATCTCAGGGCATCACCGTAGGTTCAGAAGTCTTCTCTTGGCACGTAGTACACACTAAAAAGCCTCCAGTTGCTGCATCCCACTCGTGGATCCAGACCCTCATACCCCATCAAGCACCACTATAAACAGTCATTTTTCTTGAGAAAACAAAAAGAAGGTCTTTTTTTTTTTGTGGCCAAGAGTTACCAGTTAGGAATACCATCAGCTCTGCGTCACCAGTTTTGTTGGTACTTGTTTCTCCCCAGTCCTGCAGGATTCCTTTTAGCCTAGTCCTTGTGGAAAATCATTGAGCTTTCTGGACTATGAAGTGGGTTGCAAAGTGCATTGTAAACTGCTCCCATTATCTTTAATTACTCAGAAACCATATGTCAGATATGTATGAAGGTAGTGATCGCATTGAATAGGATGTCTCTAAGTGGTGATTTATTGTTAACCAAAAAAATTATATATGGAAATGAGCTCGGTTTGAAAATATATCTATGTACTATTAGTACATGGAGGAGAAATGAGGACAGACAGTTTATAGCAAAACATCCTTGAAAATAAAAGGGTGATAAATATGTAAATGAGACCAATCAACATCAACAAAGATGCGGTATTTGCAGATGATATGGCAAACAGATAAAATTTGAAATAGCTCACAAATCCTAAAGCTAACCCATAAAACTTTCATCAGAAATATTCGTGATAATGTAGGGACAAAAAAGTGTGTAATCAAATGATAGATTTGCATATAAAAACACAGCCTTTGTATGAAAGTCTTTTTACCCTAGCAAGATCATGCACAGAAAGGAAGATTAAAGCAAACTGTAGACTATTTAAGGAAAACAGCTATTAATAATGTGATACCTCCATATGGTAAAATGTGGATAGCCTGATGTATACAAATGAGATACTTCAATGTAGTATACTTATGTGCTTACCTAGAACTAAACAGACTAAAAATTAAGAGAGTGGTAATATTTCCCGAGTGTATTACTGCAGAAAACCAGTATCTTATACAGTCCAACATATCTGTACACATGATTTTTATCATTTCTAGATCATTTCTGACTATGTTTCTGAGAATGGGGTAGGTTTTAAAGCCCAAAAGTTGCAGGGAATGGCTGTCTTTGGCATCATCCATTTGGGATGAGCTGGTTGCATACAAGTTAAATCAGAGATGAGTCCTCTATTAAAATCTTAACTCTGTTATATTTATGTTCAAAGTGAATGAAGGCTTTTGAATACAGTGACCAAAAATTTCTGGTTTTCAAAGAAAAATAATTCAATAATATTTTTCAGTGTTCCCGCTTTCTATATGCATTTTAGTTTCTTCCTAAACACCCAAACAGCTGAGAGCTTTGAACAACTGTACTTTGCCACAAAATATCAAATACTTCTAGTCTGATACTTCCAGTCAGATTCCAGTCATGGTACCCAGGAAAGATCTTGTCATTGTTTTCCATTTGTACTGTCCAAGGACTTTCCAGAATGGACACTAGTGACCATGACTCATAATGGAAAAAAGTAGCAGAACCTGGAAATGTCATCTTGGAGCACCTGATCCCTTGTGAAGTTCCAGTTTTAGTTACCAAGTCAAAATCTTTTGGGGTTCATCGATTTTGGCAAAATACAGACTTTGGGAGAAGAATAAAATTGTCACTGGAATACTTTAGCCATTTTGAAGTTTTTTGAAAGGATGAGAGCCCATTTGAACCATCTCTACCTTGTCATTTTCTTCTCACCCATCTAAATTCCTTCAGTTACTGAAAAAACATGAAATGTCCATTCTGTAGACTGTCATATAGAGAAACAACTTTCCCCTAGTATATTCTAGGAGAAAGATCTTCTTTTCTTCTTAGATAGAATGTTTAAAGTTATGAAATAAACTGACAGGCTGTAATTATCTGAGATTTCTCTTACTAAAGGTGCAACTTGAATTTTCTTATAGAAAACTACTTCAGAAACCCACAGATCTGAGGAACAGCCTAACCAGCTTATTGGTAGCAGCTCTTCAACTTCTGCACAGCTCTGGCTTCATGTTAATTTAGCAAATAGGCATTCAGGGAACCAGATTAGTTATTCTCGAAACATGTTTAATCTGCTCTTAAGTCTTAGCCAACTGGAACGTGGCAGCTCATCTGGACTCCTGCTTAACTAACTTGTTTACACTCCCAGAACTAATTAACCCTCCAGTTACTAAAGTAAAAAGCAGCCCCATGCAGGCACATACCTGGCAAAATCAATTCAACACGCTCTGCAGCTGCTATGTCATCTTCAACATGCACTTAAAGTGCTTAATTTGGAGGAGAGACAGTCTGAAGCAATATTAAGTCTCCCTTTTTCTCTTGCTAAGTTTCCTCCTGTTACTACAAGGTAGCAAAGCAGATTTGTGAATGTTGGTCTAACAAGGTCTGATTCGGGCATTGTTTTTATAGGAAGTTTGGTCTGATTGTCTTACTAGGTACAAGCCAAAAAGGCTTCACATTTGTATCCTGAGGCACAATCCCCTTGAAAATTCATCGTCAGTTATTTATACTTTTGAAGGGTTTAAGCTAAAACATAAGGCTTTGTTTCATCATTCACTCTCAAATCCAACTCGTTTGCAGCCCAAGGAAATTCAGCCATGTGGGTGAAGTGCTTCTTGAACTAGAAGATGTCATAGACAAAAACGCACCATTATTGGCCCTGTTTTTGTATTTTGGAGTAATAGGAGAAGGGCATTTCTTTAACAGATTTTGGCAAAGACACATTTTAAGAACATGAACCATACTATGGTTAACAGAGCATGATGAGCTAAATCCTTCATAAGCTCTGAAAACCCTGGAAAGATAAAACTTTTAGGGTTGAAAGAATCTGCCAGAGTTGACACCACTGGAATTTGAAGTTTTCTGTCTATGGAAGACAGCAGGAATATATGCACGAGCTATCTACAGCTTCCTCATTAATTTCTAGAGGAAATAGCTCAGAATCATATATTTATTTAATCACTAAGTGCATTCAAGCTTTTATGTTTTTTTGCTGAGCCTGTTGGTCCAGTGATGGTTCATATGAGGAAATGCTGCTGGTCTGTGACCTAGATACATGAGCAGCAGCTTATTTCATATACAACAACAAATCTGATGTTTGATGCTAAAATCTCTCCTGTTTGCCCCTGTAGGCTAAAAGGCAGGTCACACTTTCCTTTGACTTAATTAGATCAGATTGAGTTACCTTTCATGTTTTATCTAAACTGAGGTGAGGTACTTAAGGACAGCGGAGACTACTCAGTAGAGTATTTTGAGGCACATGTTAAAGTACATTGCTAAATCAAGGCATATCTCTCTTACTTCGAGTGGGGAAGGAGGAAAGTTCTTGGCTTGATTGTAAAAGTTTCATCAGGAGAATCTGGCATAGTGGGAAGTCTTCACTTTATTTAGCACGTTCTAGCAACCTGGCAAATTGCTGGATTCACCTCCCAGACCTTCTTCAGCATTAGCCAAAAAAGCTGCCTGGGCTAGCAAATGGCTAAGAGATGTCCACCATTCCATGTGCTCCCGAAATCAGTTTCATTCAGCCCCAGCATGTGATTCTGTAACACTTGGCAGCATACAGCCCAAAAAGATGGGGGGGGGCAGAAATCGCATGATCATCTAAGGATGAGCAGTCTGTGTCTTCTGCTACCAAGAAAGCTGGTCAGTATTTTGCAGCTTCTCCATTTTTTCTTGCACAGTGTATAGTGTGCTGCCTCATTTGGTATGCAAAAGGCTGTAATTAAATAAGATCATTAAAGCTATTTTGAGAAAATGGTTAGGATTCAGTGTAACTGAGACATTTGGAAATTG